GGCCCATGGGTCTAAGGCGGTCACAGGAATAACGCGTCGAGAAGCGTTTTGCGCTGGTTGGGCGTGTGTTGGGAGGGGGGAGCTCAGCGAAATATCTGAATCTCAAACGTGAGCGGTGGCAGCCAGTGGCAGCGGGGTCCTAGAAAATGTCGTGGTTCAAAAGCAAATTCACTTTCTTCATAATGCGCAAATATGGCCTTTGTTTCTGGTCCAGACTCCAGACAGACGTCAAACGTGTTTGATAAGTCCTTATTCACTTCGGCGGGAGTGGAAAACGCCCTCGCCCTACTTTTCGTTTTGGTGGGTTAGAGCGCTTCTCACACCCTTAACCCATGGAGCCACGCAAGTTAACAGTTGGAGGTACTCAATCCCTAAACCCTAAACCCCATGGCCCTTGAAAATACTCAGGTACTCATTTTGGTGCACCAAGAAAAGAGCCAGGTGTCAATTTGGAACACAGTTCAATACGGCTTTCTGCCTCACGTTCAAACAGATGACACTGTTTGCCGGGTGCAGGTGGGACAGCCTGAGGTTGAGGGTTTAGGGTTCACGTGCCACTCATTTGGTTTTGTCTGGGCCTGGAGAGGGTCACGCGCCAGACTGAAGCTCTGGGTGTTCCAAAATGAGCCTTTGATCGCGTCGAAGCCCCTGCCCGGGGCCACACGAAAATCCCAAGATATTTGCGAATGTTACCGAATGTTACCGAACGTTTCGGGGAATGGTTCGGGTATCTTAAGACACAGTCAGGGTCGACGATCGGACTCGGAGTCCCGACCTTGGGAACCTGTGGCGAGCACAGCATCGAAAACCACTCGCAAAAATGTGCAGGAGGTATAGAAAGCGTGGAAAGCATCGGCAAATATAGAAGCCAGAGAGCCCCTGAGGAAGTCAAACCACATCCCTACAAACCCTCAACCCTAAACCCAATCTGCGATGACCATGATAAGGACTGTGACGACTATTATTACTAGTCTTACTATTCAGTAACACTCTTCATTCATCGGGGCCGTCGGCTCCTTGCACTCCGGCAGATAGTCCGGGTCTGAAGCGCCAAACCTGGGCGCGGAGGGTGAAAAATCCACGAGGGGCCCAGTGCAGTGCTTTTGAGGGGCTGAGGGGCCCTATTAGCCTATCCCTGAAGCACTATGGACCCTGAGCCCCCTTCAAACTCACCAAAAATTCCCGGCCCCGCCCTCAAGCGCTCGAGGCGCTTGATCAGCGGTGGAGGCTTGCGCTTCTTCTTCGGCGCAGTCTTCGCCCCATGAGCCTGAGGCTGCAGGGTTCAGGGTTGCCGGGTTTCGGGGCTTTGGGGTGTTGGTTTCAGGGTTTAGGGTTCAGGGTTTGGGGTAGGGCATTCGTGGCAAGAGGATGCTACAAAAGCCTCTGCCCAGCCAAGGAGGACCTTGGAACACAAAAGCCGCAAAGACCAACGAGGAGTGTTAGGTCTCCAGGAGCCTCTTTCAGGGATGCCCTTATGCCCTTGACCCTAAACTGCCCCCTTGACCTGCCCAAAACCCTAAAGGGAAATCAAGAGGCCTCGAAGATGGCGTCAAAGTCGCTGATGGGCACCACATACCTCAAAAGAAAAAACAGAGTTTACGGTTCAGGGTTTGGAGTTTGGGGGAAATCTCCGACTGGAAGGCCTTCAAGTTTCCCTGCTTGAACTGAGTTTCTCGAGGCATTTGAGTTCTTAGACTCCTGGGTTCGGAGGCATGCGGTCTGTTCCCGAATGTTCCGCGACGTTGGGTTCATACATTGTCACTTCACGGCGTGGTCTCCATCTTGACAATGCGAACTTGGAAGGTTTGAGTGCTGCCTCAATCACGATCCTCCATTAGCTGACTGAACGGATCCATTCTGTGCCGGAAGGCCATTGACTTGTGTGCAACTCGGAGTCCAGGGGGTGCACCACCTCGGGGCACAGTTTGTCTCTTACCGGAGACACCGAGCTCATAGAGCTCATAGAGCTCATGTGGCTGGCCATATCTTACCTTCTTGCGAAAAGGTGGGGCAGATACAATCAATGCGATGCACTTATACTCGCTAAGTCGCATCTGAGTGGGCGCAATCCTTGCCGGATAGACACCACTCGCCGTCGTTCTTGTCCTTCGCAGGGCCAGGCCGGCTAGGCGGCCGCCGTGTTTTCCCAATCGCTAAGTCTGCATTTTGCTGGCTCAAATTGAATTTCTCCGTGACGAGACTAATTACGTCCTACTGTCTCTGTGAGGCCCTGATTTCCAAATAGTCTCCGTGAGGCTGCCAACCAGGTAGGGGATGAAAGCAACACTGTACAATGGGAGGCGGAGGTGAGAGAGCGTGGGAAAGAACAGTCCAAGATAACATCAAAGACGCAGGGTCTGAGAACTCAGAGAGCTCCAAGACACAACACAAGTCACAGATGCTCCCTTATCGACACCCCGAGAACTCGAATTATAAGACACGGGGGTGGGGGTGGGGGTGGGCGGGGGTGGGGTGTGGGGGTGGGGGTGGGGGAGGAAGGGGAGAGGAGAGGGGGGGAGGGAGGGAGGGGAGGGGAGGGGGCGTGAAGGGTGGAGGGTGGGCAAACATTCATCTACTGGCACCCTGACCTTGACTCATGGGCTGCAGGTCTCGCTCGTGCAAACTTCATGCCCTTAGCATCCCGTAGCCATTCCAAACATTCCCCGACCTGCCTGACTTACCTTCTGTGGTGCACAGTCTCTGGGACAATTTCAAGCCGTTCCTCGCTCCTGGTTGCAGCCTAAATGGCCACACCAAACTTGGACGCACCCAGGCTGAAGTCTATTTTATACTTACCCTCCAAAAAACATAGACACGCTAGGGCCCGGAATCCCTGGCTGCGACGAGGCTCATATTTCAAAGTGCCTGACGCACTTTGTCCCGGTTTGAAGCTCCTCCGAGGATGGTGCTGCTATGTGCCACTGCATTGTGGTTTGGGGCCTGAGTAACTCGACTTCTAGTCGGGGAAGTTTAGAGTTCGACAAGGCCCATAAGTAGGCTACAGGGGAAGACGGTTGGTTTAAGTATAGGCAATGTGCACAAGCAGCTACAGGGTACTCCTCCTCTGAGAGAAGTCCAGCCGGCCGTTGCTGCTGGCACTTGGACAGTAGACGCCTGCACAGTGGATGGATGATGGATATGATCTGACTGATCTGCTTGGCTTGCGATTGCTAGAGGCCTGTAGTCTTTCAAACGGTCTCCTGGCAACTGGCCAGTGATCGTGAGCCCTAAAAAAGCCGTCGGTCGTGGCTTCTGACTGGTGTGCTTTGCCTCGGCCAACTGCGAAGAGTTGCAAAACCGCCCGTTTCTTGAGTTGGACGTTGAAGGCAACAACCGAACTTAGCCAAACACATGCCCGCGTCAAGCTGCGCTTCTTAGATTCTTTGCCGGTCTCTCTGCATGTGCAATGGCCTTCCCAAGCTTGTGCCATGCCGGGGTCAAAATCCCTCTTCTCCTGCAGAGAGATGCTTTAGGGTGGGTTCGGACCCAAGGCTGCTCCTCAAGTGCTATTTTAGAAGAGAGTCGGCACCGGTCATCAGAGGGTATATGGAGACCGGAACGCGGCTGATCTGGCAGCATTCCTGAGATCACGCGCAGGTGCTCGAATGCTTCTTTTTCTCCACAGGGGCGGCACTGCGAGTGGTTGATTCTGGTTGATCTCACTCGAGAGCAGCAGACGGCGTGCGCTTAGAGGGGGTGTGCCGCGTGCCTTGCCTTGTTTTGGGAGCTTTTGCTAGAAAGGGACTTGAGATGAGACTCCCTGGGACTCTCAACAAAGAAAGTTTCCGAATCCGCTGAATTGGCTGAGCTGCGTACTTGAAGCGGATCCAGGCACCTGCGATGTGGTGGGAGCTTTTGGGAGCTGGGTTTAGAGGGGCTTGTGAGAAGTCCCATCGTGCCTTGTCACGCAATGGCCGGGTTGGAGGGCACTTTTTGGGCAACCTCGAGGTTTTCGGGGGCCTTCTTTTGTTCTCAACACAGAGTCCAGGGGAGGACAATCTCCAAATCCTCCCGCCTTTGTCGGAGGCCTCGCTCTCGAAGCTCTTGAGGCCTTCGCCAGGTGGGCAGAAGGCGCCGAGCTGGCGTAGGGCCTTGTGGGAGCCGAGGCTCTCAAAGCTTCAGAAGGCATCCCAAACCCTCAAAAAGACCCGAAAGACACCCCCAAAAAACCCACCCAGCAAACCCCTCCAAAAACCCCTGAAAGCCCCTCAAAAAACCCCTCAACACTCTGCTTAAGAACCCTACAACACCCTAGAAACACCCTAGAAACACCCTTTGTCCTTTGTTGGCGCGTTGGTTTGGGAATGTTTGGGAAGGCCTTGATCTGCTCCAGCTCCGGGGACTTCGTCTCGACTTGCGTCGAGTAGTGCGGCGTGCACATGCCTTCGAATTTGAAGGCTTTGGATAACCTCTTGAGGGCCTCTCGGGCTTTTTTTGGGGGGTTTACAGGGTTTACAGGGTTTACAGGGTTTGCAGGGTTTACAGGTTTATGGCTTAGGGTTTAGGGTGTTTTTTCGGGGGCTTCAGGAAGTTTACGGTTGAGGGTTTAGGGTTTCAGGGTTAGGGGGTGAGGGACGGTTAGGGGGTAGGGCGTCGGGAAGTTGAGGGTTCAGGGTTTTGGATCAAGTTGGGGGTCTTCGGCCCGACTTGGGACCAAGACGGTCAGAAACCTATGAACCCTATGAACCCTAAAAACCCCCTTTTGCTGTTGCAGGGCTGAAGCGCGGAAGCGTAACTTTAGGGTTTATAGTTTTTATAGGGTTTATGGGGTTTATAGGGTTTATAGGGTTTATAGGGTTTGTAGGGTTTGTAGGGTCTACAGGTTTATAGGGTTTATAGGGTTCATAGGGTTTTGGGTACCCTTCAACACGTTTGCTTCAAGGCTCCCAGCGAGGAGACGTGGCTGCACTTGTACTCGAGCTGGGCGTGCGTCTTCCTCACATAGCTGATGACCTGGGCAGCTTGGCAGTGTGAAGCTTTAGACCATGAGCACGTGTGCGGTGACATGGCTCTGAGGGCCCTGAGGATTCTGAGGGCCCCGAAGCTTCTGCAACTCTGGGTTGTCATGAGGGAGGTTTGCGACGTTCAGGCTCTGAAGCCGCTGAAGAAGTCTAGACTAGGGGACTCGGGCACAGTTGAGACATGTAGGAAACCCGGAGGCCCTAGAGGCCCTAAACCCTAAAAGCCCTTCAAAACCCAAAAAAGACCCTGAACCGACCTGAGAGCTTCAAGCCGTTTGAACCACTGGAACCTCTGCGGTCTTTTGGCTTACAGGGGTAGTCCTGCGGAGTTTCAACGCAGGGTTTAGGGCTTGAAGGGTTTAAGGGGGGGTGATGTCTTTAGGCACTTGAGGGTGTAAGTAAAGTTTTAGGGTCTAGGGTTCAAAGCTTAGGGTTTAGTGTTGGGGTCTAGCTTGAGCCCGTCATCTGTCCCCTTCAAACTCCCACATGAAATTCGGCAGAGCATCCTGGTCTCCGGGGCATTGCATGGGTGCGTCAACAAGGCCGGGTAGTCCATGCGACATGGTCCACTGCTGCTCGATGCCTTTGCGCAAGGCAGGCGCAACCCGTGTAGATTCGCTGGGCCTGGGGCCTAGAAATCCTTCTGAAAAAGAGATCCCAAGGACAACATCCCAAGGGCCTCGTTCGCTTCTGCTATAGAAGTAAAAAAAGTGAAACGCTGAGCTTAAAGGATGAGGAGGCCAGAAGCCCACAAAAAGCCAACCAAAACCTCCGAAGCCCCCCATCAACTTGCGGCCCAGAGGGGCGCTCCGAGCAGCCCACCTCTTCCACCCGGCCGCGGCCCTGAGCTTCCAGGCACTTGTTGGCGCCGCTCTTCTTGATGATCCTGAGGCTTTGGTCGGGCGTTGGTTTGCTGGGTTTGCTGGGCTTATTGGGTTAAAAAGGCTGTGGCATGGGAGAAAGCCTCCTCATGCGACATACGGTCAGACGGTAGACGGCCCAGCATCCTCTATCCTCTAGAGCCCTTTGGGCAAATGATCCGTGCTTGCTTCGGCGCTTCTTCGTGGAGTCGTAGGTCCACTCCTTGGGCAGCGTGTGCGGATGGCGCCTGCGCAGCGTGTCCAAGTGGAGACGGTCATCCTTTTTAAGCTGCGCTTACAGTAGCTCTCAGAGCCCCTATTTATATATTCACGTATGTATATCTGTATGATATATATATATACATATACATGCTTCTATATGTTTTATATGTTTTTTAGTATGTTTGTGTATATGTGTCTGTATGTGTTTCTATATATGCTATATATGTTTACAGATATGTTTATGCATGCTTATATATGTATATATGTGTTTATATATGTCTATGTATGTTGATATCTGCTTATATCTGTTTGTATCTATTTATATCTGCTTTTTTCTGTTTATATCTGTTTATATCTGTTATATATGTTTATATATGTTATATATGTTTACATCTGTTATATCTGCTTATATCTGTGTATATCTGTTTATATGTCTATAGATGCTTATGGGTGTGATTTTTTATGTTTGTTTATGTTTTTTTTTCTATATATCTGTGGCCTCTTAGCAAGTCTTAGCGGGCCTGAGCCGGAACTTGGAATGGCTCCCCACAGGCTCGACGGTGATCTGCTGGGAGTCAGCGTCCTAGGATCTGCAACACCAAGACCTAATGGTTTGCATGATTGCATGATTGCCACAGACACAGGCACCAGCACCGACAGCTCTAAGTAGAGCTCATCTGAAAAGGGTTTGGGAAAAGGACCTCTGCCGACAAGAGCACTCCTTACCACAAGAAGCTCTCCAGGGACCACTCCAAGAGTCCAAAAACCTGTAGGTGCCCACGCGAGTTCGTGTTTGTACTACCCAGATCGGCTTTCGAGTCACCAGAGCTCCGAGGTCCCCCCCGCGTACTACGTTACTACGTCTGTCCCAAAGACGAGAAGCATACCAAACAAACCCCTAGAAAAAAACAAAAACATGCCACCCCACGTGATTTGCGAGGTTTTCTTACGTTCCAAGAGACAAAAAGAAAATTGCGAGGCCACCTACCTTCCATGTCACGACCAGCATCCCACCCCACGTGATTTTTGCCGTACCTTCGACAAACATACCACGCGAGGTAACTTGCGAGATTTCCGTACCCAAAAGCCTTCCTTAAAGAACACGAAATGCATGTCACGCCATGGATGTGCGAGGTTTGGAGCTCTGGATGTGCACGGGACCTGGGCGAGAGCGCCCAATTCCCAAAGCGACGACACGTGACGTCGCACAGGACCTAGACGAGAGCGCCGCTTGCTCGGGCGCATGAAGGAAACATTGGAAACCCACAAGCGAGAGCCCGAAACCCACAGGCGCAGAGCGTCCCTGCTCTTTGCGACGCGGAGCGATGCCTCAAAGCGCGGGAGGCGGGAGCATGATTTAGATTCAGAGCGCGGAACGTGCGCGGAACCTTGGCGAGAGCGCAAAATCGATAGTTGGAGGTGCCCGAAGTCCTGCGCCTGCCAGTGAAAGCGCTCTACACCTTCTTGCTCTGCACAGCAGAACCGCTTAGTCCCATAGTGTTGGCACACTGTTTCACGGAAAAACAAATCCACTGAACCATGCGCATGAAACCAAACCGTGTGATAACCTCTCTTCCTTGGAGGATGGCAGACGGCAAAAACGCAGGTGGTTTTTTTGACCAGATGTGGCCCTCACCTACACGCATGTCCTTTGGCAGATGTTGGACCCCCCAATTTTCCACAAAGCGACCGTGCAGTCAAGGTGGAGGCCCATGGTAAAGGCCTTGCTCGACATCTCCTCTCGTACCTTGGATCTTGGGTCTCTGCGACCTGCTCTGCACTTCCTGTTCCTGTGCGCTGACAAGGGGCAAACTGTTGATTCGTTTTGAAGTGGCAGTCGTGCACATAGAGGTTACCCCACGGGTTGAGGGACATGTCCAGGCATCGGTGGTCGTGCTCGCTGCGGATGGCTTTTTTGTCCTCATCAAAGTACCACTTCTGGTTGGCACCGTCATGGCACTCGTGCATGTAGACGTTGTCTGAGCCGTCCATGGAGTAGTCCAAGCACTTGTGGTCACGCAGCGTGAAGATGTTCCCACCCAGCATGTACCACAGCTGGTTGTTCCCGTTGTGGCATTTGTGCACGTAGACGTTTCTCCTCGGCTCGAACGCACGACAAACAAGACGCCGACGGGCTTGGAACGTAGCACCCTCATAACCCTTCAAAACCCCTAATCCTGAACCCCACCCAAACCCCCGAAACCCCTAGACCCGGACATCTTTCCCACTTACCTCCGAGCTTCGCGGCGTTCCCGGAGTCATCCATGCACCTGGGGTGGATCTGGGGGCCCCCGTAGAGTTCTATCGGTTATATACAATATGACTATGAAAAACCCGAAATCTTAAACCTTGAAGAACAACTCCTGTACATATGTACCTGCGGGCCTGCGGTAGTTGTGCCACTTGTTTTCCTGCTGATATTCAGTTCCCGAAGGTCTTGAACCATTTTCTAAAGACAGTGTTGTGTAAAATAACATGCAGGTGTTGCAAACATACAACACGGTGCGCTTCAAGCAGCACAGTCAGGTCCTTGTTTGCCGAGTGTAAACAAATCTCCGCGCTCGTGCGAGCGATGGTTAAGTTGGGAGACGTCTACTCCACTGCTAGCCTGCTGGTTCACACCACTAGGTTATGACTCAACGCAAGGTTGCGGCAACAAAGCAGTTGTGATACCATCCCCGCCTGAAAACAGGGATGGCCATCTAGGCAGATCATCTAGGTCCAAGGTTTGATGATGCAACGCCCTGCAGCACGGATGCGCAAATCAGGCGGAATAGGCTTTGCATCAGGTATGGCTGCGGGAGGCTCACTTGGGCTTAGACCAGTGTGAGCCATCCGGAGGTTCGGCGCGAATGCAACAGGTGTCGGCCCACGAAAGTGGGGATGCGGCGCAGCTTCATGTTGGGTGGAATGGCGGCGATTGTCGGCGAACCTCGTTCGGTTGTTGTTGTGGCTGCCTTTGTCTGACGCGCTTGGCACAAACGGAGCCGGGACAGCACGCGAAGCAGCCACAGGCATTCCAGTAAAGCCCGGAGTACTCTCGTGCTGCAGGTAGGTAGAAGGGACATGCACGTGCTGGGGCTGGTCGCCGTCTTCGAACGATGGGTATAGGATAGGGAATGGTTACCTGCAGACACTGCACGTGCACCCGCGCCGGCCTTTCCTTTGAAGGTGGCGTCCTTGCAGCCGGCTGAGACCCAAATTCGTGGCGCGTTGTCGAGATCCTAGAGGGTTTAGGGCGGTTTGTGGATTCCATACCGAAGGGGCTTGGTGTCCTTCGACACTGTCCCGATGGACGATGGTCTCCCAATGAGTCCGTTTGCAAAGCGCAGAAGCTGACAGGATAGATCCTCGGACCTCGCGTTGACCGCTTGTTTTCTTGCCACGTTGAGTACGAACTGCCCAGCACCGCACAAGTTATCGTGCATACCTCCCAAGTTGTATTCAGCCTCCACATAAAACTACTCCGCTCAGAAATGCAGGACCTCGCAGCGAGGCCGCCAGGCCAGGGTACAGTTACAGCAAGTCGCTTTCCTTAAGGTAGGAGCTTGTACCTTTGCTCGGAAGGGAAGGACATGTAGAGAGCTTTTTCTTGGTCGCAATCTCGTAGCAAAGTTGCAAAGGAGGATTGTAGAAGAACGACTCCTGTACATGTCTACCTGCGGTAGTCGTGCCACTTGTTTTCCTACTGCTATTCATCTCCCGAACGTCTTGAGCATGTAAGTGCTGCAACCCCACAACACAGCACTTTTCAAATAGCACAGACGTCAAGACTCTTGACTTTTTCAGGTCTTTGTTTGCCGAGTGTAAACAAATGCTTCCAGGGCCTTGCAGGGAAATGACGTGTCTACGACACTGATAGCCTCACCCTTTTGAACCCCAAACCCTAAACGGCCCTAAACTCTAAAACGTTTTTAGCCATACTTTCCATGTCCAGCCCCAAGGCACCCGGAGCTGTGCTGCTCGACGAGTCTCCAGGGGATGATGCGGTTGATGCCTTAGTTCAGGGGACTCTAGCTCACACCCCTAAGTTCCCTAAGATTGCACCCTTGGGGTTGGGGGACTCTTTTTCAAGATCCCCCTGAAACGAATCAAGGAGCCATATTCGGAGTGCGTTAGCGGAACCTTTCAGGGTACCTTCGGGGTATGAGTTTGGATCCCTTGCTTTGGGGAGAGAGCCGGGTTTTGGGTTTCTGGATATTGCTTTGTCTTTAGGGCTGTTGGAGGTTTTTGGTGGGGGGGGTGGGGGGTAGTCCTAAACTCCTAAACCCTAAACCTTGTCGGGGTTTAGGGGGGCCTTTAGGTCTGCAGCTGGGTGTCTCATGCACGTGCCTTCGCTGACGCTGGTGATGGTGACCGCGCCCGGCACTGGGATCGTCTCAGTGTGCGGTTTAGGGTTTAGGGTTCGGGTTTAAGGTTTGGGGTTTAGGCAGGGTTTAGGGCTCGCAAGGGGGCCATTTCTCCAAGGAGAAGGAACGGGCTTCCACAACCAGGCGGCGTGTGAAATGGGATCTCCATAGGTGCTGGCAGCCGTGCACGTTGCCGACCTCGTTGTGGGCATTGGGGTCTTTTGGGGTCTTTTGGCGCTGTTTTGACCTCTGCTGTGGGCCTGTTCAGTTTTAAAAAGGCGTCCCAGTGCGCCTATCGGGCTTCTAGAGGCTATTGGGATGCAATAGAACGGTGCGTCTGTCTACACACACACACAACGTCATCAAACATAGAGGCATCCGGCAGTCACTGCAGTCCACCCGTGGAGCAACGTCTCCCAGAATGGTACTCAGACACTCCTCTTGTGCGGGCAAAGCCACATTCCCAGCTCAGAGTTGTGGCTGAGCTTGATCGACGTCTAAGCTCAACTTCGGGCTAACTCGCGAAGGAGGGTACCAGTGGTACCAGGTCATGGCTTAGAGGATATCAAAGGATGATTCGAGTTTATCCTACGACCCTACGAGGACTGCACAGGACAGCAGCACATAATGCGAAGACTTGCGCCATATATCAATGCCCAGAAGCCACGACGTGCTGCCCGCAATCTGCATCCAATTGAAAGCTCCGGAGCGTCGTCGGTCCGGTCCCTCAGAGTTTTGGAATGTTTTGGAGGTCTAAGGAGGTCCAACTGAGATACGCTTTGTGGAGTCTTTAGAACTTTAGGCGACAAGTCATCTTCAGGGCATGTAAGGTGGCCTTACCGCTCATGTCAGCTCAAAAGGCTCAGAGCCGTCCGGGGGAAGACCGACAAGACGCCCCTACACCGCATTCACCGCATTCCGCACCCGTAATCCGCACCTGTCACAGGGAATCTGAGGTCCCGGGCCACGGGGGAGGAGGCCCGACCCGGACGGTGAAGGCACGCTTGCACCAGCTTGGAACTTTGAGCCCCCTACGGTGGCTTCTAGGGTGTCTTGCTTGGCATCAGAATATGTGCGACACCCTTCGGACAATCAATGAGCCTTGAAGCCTGTGCTGCTCACGTGAACACAAGGACGCAAGTCGAACTGCGGGTAATTGTGCGGGGGCCCTTTTTGGAACATTGAGCTTTGGACATGGTGTGGGAGTCATCCAAGTCATCCATACCATACAAGTCCGGCAATGGCCCACCACGACCCTTCGCCTGTCCAAGTTGCGAAGCTTTCCATGTCCCTTTCTCGGTGTCGGTATGAGACATGTCCCTTGTGCGTGTAGGCACCCTAAAGCCGCCTCAAACCCCACTTTTGGTCTGGCCCTTAAAGCGCTCTGAAAATGTTCGGAAGTAGGATGCGCAAAGAACCCTGAACATCCCAAACATCCGAAACCCTGAGCCCCTAAAGATCTCTAAAGGGTACCTGGATCGGGTGAAAGGCACCTCGTGGTCTTATGATGCCAGGTGACTCATCCCAAAGCAACGAGCCAAGTTCGTTGGCCTCGATCATCTGGTCCTTGAGGCCATTAGCGGGTCTCCGAAATTCTGGGGGGGACCTTAAACCCTAAACCAAGATTGGGGTCCTTATTACGAAAGGGGATCCTACTCTTTGGGTAGCTTCGAAGCCCCGTGGCCCCCGGACGCAACCTCTTTGGAGAGGAATTAGGGCAATTAGGGTTTGGGGTTGAAACGGTTTGGGGTTTAGGGTCTCTAGGGCCCTGAAGCATCCTAAGACCTAAACAGCCTAAACCCTTCTACACCCTTCTCCACATGCGGCAAAAGCGGCCGGCTCAGCCTCCAAGGCGCAGGTCGCAGAATCCAGTTGGACGTTCAAAGCTCTGAGGCATCTGCCTTAGGTGTTAGCAGGGGTGATATGTAGTGAATGTAGTAGCGACGTGTAGAAGAGGGTGGGACAAGCTGTGCTCTTGCCAGGGCAGCTCCAAGGCTTCTAGGCGTGAACTCTCACAAATGCCAAGACGCCCTGAGAAGACAGCGACCTGGAAGAGGAGCGGAAGGAAGGGGCACAAAACGAGCAGACAAAGGAGCCCACAAGTTAACAAACTGATCTTCTGCCTGTAGCGGCGCATCGTCTCGTCGGCGTCGGGCATTAGCTCAGCAACGAACACGTCGGAGGTGCCTCCTGGAAACATTGCTAGAGGGCTGATTGGCATTGCGATTTTAGGGTCCGGCATCTGATACAAGTCAAGAGGGACGCTGGCATTTGGCATTGCGGGCTCCTGTCCGCAAGCTGCCCGTCGACGTCACCGTACGGCGAGTGCGAGTGTCCACGGAGAGTGTGAGCTTCATGCCGCTGGCAAAGAAGAGCTCCTGCACAGCAAAAGCTCCACGCGGAGACCCCAATCAGTGCCTCACACTTCGCAATTCAAATCGTAGTCATTGTCATTGCTTGGAGGGTTCCGAGAAGAAATGGAGCGGGATGTTCAAGCTGCACGTGTGGTTACGGGTGCCCGTTGCCAACTGCCAGGAACATCTCACGGTGAGGCTTTCACCCGAAGCGCAAGTTGCATGAAGTGACCGGCTAGTGACTATGAGACATGTGGGGGTTTCCGGTCTTAGGGGTACTTTACTGGGGTGCTTCTAGGAGATCTGCAGCGAGAGCCGCACAAGTAGCTTCCATGAAGCTGCAAGATCCTACCATTTGCGGGGTCTATATTCAGGATCCCTTGTCGCACACCCCCATGTGGCGACTGGCTCCGCGTCGCCCCTCCTGAAGGTAATTGACCTTTTCGGATGAACAATGTTCTTGCATGTTTTTGAGGGGTTCTTGTGAGCTGACTGAAACTTTGGGGCGCCGTCTGCAGAATAAAAAGGATCAGCCCATGATTCACTTGTCGTCCTGGCGAATCTGGGAATCGAGATCTGCATAGACCTTGGAGACTGCCTGAAGTCAGGCGCAGCGCCAGGGACCAACGAAACCACAAGGGAGGCCCCTCTTGAAAAGGTTCTTAGGTTTCTTTGGGGGGTCAAAGCTTCCAAAGGGAACCCAGGCAGGCCTGGACGCAAGCGGTGCACGTGAATCCTTGCAGGCCTGGCGAAACACGGCGAAACTGAGGAGTCACGAGGAACCACGCTTGGTAAGAATGCGTTTCAATGCCTGAGTTCCAAACTGTGCGTGCGGGACTTGGGCTTTTGATGGGTTCAGCACACACACACACACACCTGACTTCTTCTTTGTTGCGGCCGGTGCTAGGCCGAGGGGACTCGCTTCTCCTCCTGTCAAGTTAATTTTATATACAAAGATGTATAGATGTATACACATAAATAGATTGCCTTATACATCTTTATATATCTTTGTATATTGTTACATACATGTATATACATTTATATACCTTTATATACCTTTATCTACCTTTATATGTCTTGATGTCTTTAAACATACTTTTATATATCTTATATGTCTTTATACACCTTTATAGATCGTTATGTTTTGAATATATATATATATATATATATATTTCATTATGCTGTACTATATTGCATGATACTGTATTGTATTATATTCAAGTGGGTTGAGGAGGAGCCGCCACCCCCCCCCCCCCCTCTCCCCCCCCTTTGAGTGGAGTCTCTTGCCCCCTTGGTTGGGTTGTGGTGAGGAGCTCTGGTGAGGTCATTCTTTGCCTGTGCTCTCGGTTCGGAACGGATCGGAACGGATGAACGCATCTGACATCTGACATCATCTTGCCGGCCTGGCGTGTTCCAGGAGTTGATCCACGCCCCTGCCACGCAAGACATCGTCCTTGAATGGTCCTCTCAGGAAAGGTCAGTGGGTCAGGAAAAATCCTCTCGACTTTGGCTTTGCTTCGGGTTTCGCCATGTTTCAACGAGGGGCGGCGTTCAGTGTGCCGGCCGTGAAGCGCTCGGACCAGCCTTGTCTAGGGTGGGGTGTTTAAGGGTTGGTTTATAGGGTTGATAGGGTTTGGGGTTTAGGGAAGAGGGCTGAGGGTTGATGTTGAGGGTTTCTTCGGACTGAGGGCCCATGCGCACAGCGCGCATCTCTAGAAGCCACCGGATATGGTTTAGGGTTCAGGGTTCAGGGTTTGGGTTAAGCTCCCATACTTGGAGGATGACGGCACTTAGTAAGTAGGGCTATAACAATAAGGTACCCCTGCCCCCCCCCCAAAAGCTCCCTAAAGATGCTAAACCCCTTAGCCTAATAACCCCCCCAAGGGCCATTGGCAGCTTGGGTGTGGCTTCAAGACAGGGGGCGTGGTTTCAATTGAGGCTTTGGAGTCTCTTAAGTGGAGCCCTTCGGATTCCCCCATGCTCAGCCCTAAAAACCCTAAACCATCCTAAGCCACCCTCAACCGATCCTAAACCCCTGAACTTTAAGATCACCTGTAAAGGCCAAGTCGCACGTGGCCACCAGGCTCTGTCCGTGCAGGAAGGTCGCCGGCAGCGGCGTCTTCTTCAGCGCCTTCGGCCCGGACCCAGCAGATTTTTGAGGGGGGCTCTCTTAAGGGGCTTTTTTTTGAAGGTAGTGATAAGGGGGTTGATTAGCGGTCGTTAAGGGGTTATTAAGGGGTCATGAGGGGCCATTAGGGGTTGGTTCTTAGGGGTCATTGGGGTTGATTCGGGTTTAGGTTTAGGGGTCATTCGGGGTTTAGATGGGTGTAGTTTAGCTTTGTTTTTTTTTTTTTTGGGGGGGGGGGGTTTCGGGGTTCACAAAGAAAGTTCCCGGAGCTAAGACGAGTCCTGTGGTCTGGTGTCCAACTCTTGCGGCCAGGGTGCCACCTGTGAATCGAGCACCCACATGTGAGTTTTCTGATCCGGGCAGGTCCCGCTGAAGACATTGCCAGTGTTCACGTTGTACTCCTGGGCTGCAAGATGCTGTAAAACTCTGTAAAACTCTGCAAGGCTGGAAAGCTCGACGGGAGGAAGCCACAAGCTCCCAGCAGCTCTGAGCTAAAGGCACAGGACAAAGAGGGGATTGCTGGGAGGGCAAAGGAAGAGTCGGTAAGGCTGGGATGGGGCACATGTCCTTGACACTGGCGGTGAAGCGAAGTGTAAAAAAGCAAGGGGCCAGGTTCGACTCTGACGGAGGCGTAGAATATATATATATATATATGTATATATATATATGTATATAGATGTATATATATATATATGTATATATATATATATGTACAACTCGATTTAACATGGCCCCCTAAGGCTGAGGTGAGTCGCCTTTTAGGGCTTATGGCTTACGGTGCAAAACGTGAACCGGGCTGGGGTGGGAGGGGTGGTGTGCGGAGATGTCTTACCGCATCTCTCAGCAAAGGGTGCTTACGGGCGTTCGACGAACTCCACTTGACAGACATGCCATGTGTCGCAAGTCTGACGCGCGAACCGTCTGTCATGATCTGTTACTTGCCGCTCACGCCATGCCTTGACAGGTCAGTGTCGAAACTTTGCACCAAGACTCCAAGCATCTTCCCCAATGCCTGTCGCGCAAGCTCTTGCCCGAGAAATAGAACTGCTGGTCTTTCCGCCCGCTCACGCAATTGCCGACATCCCTTGGCGCACGCCAAGAGATGAAACTGTGGGGGGGAGCTGTGCTTCGAGCTGTGCGGACTACAAAAGTGCTATTTCCAAAGTGCTATTTCAAGAGTGCTATTTCTGAAGTGCATTCAGAGGCGCAGGTTCCCCGATCCGCCATTGAGGTCCAAACACTTGCCATCGTGCTGGTTCTTTAACTGCTCCCCGCTGAAGTACCACATCCTTCCGAGTTCTCCCCTCCGAGAAACGACATGGGAGGGCAAGGGAATTTAAACGCCCGCAGCCCAGAAGCAGTGTGTCTAAATTCACTGGGACAGAACAATAGCAGAGAGCGCATCTTTTAGCCCGGGCGCACTAGCGAAGCAAACGAAACCGTTCGAGTGCATCCGTGGCGTGGCCATGCTTCTCTCAGCTGAAGACGCCAAGCATGAACGAAGAAGATGCAAAATTATGGACTGGCATCTGCAGTCCTCTGAAACTGCAATACCCTCCTAGACTCTTGGAGGATCAGGGGACTCTTCGTAGGTAGGGTTATACGTACCTTATTTGGGGGTAGAAGTGGTTATAAATATCCCTACTTTATCACCCTACTTACTAAAGTCACCTGATCCTTCAAGCCGTCTTGCGACCCCATAGACTTTCTGCTAGGCGGCTGTCGCGCATCAGCATCGCAGCCGACAGCTACCACGTTGTTGCTTGCTCCTGGGCTCACCATCCACAGACGTCTCCAGCGCAGAAGCAATCCTCCTGAAGCCTAACATAGCCTGACCCTGCCGAAATCAGCAAAAACATCGTTTCAACTCAGGGTAACCCGAAAACCCGCTACCCTAAACTACCCTAAGCCCTAAACCTAAACAGAGCAACCCTGCAAAATCGAATTTCCTCGGGCTTGGAGCAGAATTGAAACTCTCTGCTCAGCATTGCTCAGCGGCGGCCCATGCACTTGCCTCCCCCCACCGTGAGCTGCGCGCCGAGCACGGGGTTGCGGGTGAACTTCTGAGTGTTCTTCCCGGGGCCTCAGGAGAGACTCAGACTCTGTTGCCTGAAGAGGGGGTTAGGGCCGCTTGAAAGTTAGAACTTGGAATCCGAGATAGAAAATTATAGGTAGAAAGTTTGTAAATTCCCGCAGTTCCATCAGTTCCATACCCTCAGCGTTCACGAGTTCCACTCCGCCAGAGCTTACTTACGGAACTTCCAAGTGCAGTGCGAAGGACAGCTGCCCATGAAGGCACTGTTGTTGTTCGGCCAGACCTTGGCGATGAAGGATGGGTTTAGGGCCTTTTAGGGCCCTTAGGGCTCTTAGGGCTTTTAGGGCCTTTAGGGTGGCACGGACACTGTGACAAGCAGTTCTTGCGTGATGTATCAAAAGCAAAACGGCCGACATCAAGGGCTGGTGGGAAGATCTTCGGCTTCCTGTTTGAGGGGGTCTCCCTTTGGGGGGAATTCTCGGGCTTCGGCTTCAGCAAACTGAAACACGTCCGTGTGATTTCCTGCCCTGCACAAGACTGCGTTGGAAACCGTATTTGAATCGGACTTTTTTGAATCGGAATATATTTGAATCGGAAACAATGGATGGCTCCGCGGCTTCCGCGGCCTGGTGAGCTTGGCAAGTCACATCCCAACGCGAACATCTCACCAAGTCACATCCAAGCAGTTGTGGTGCTTCTTGCTCTTCAAAATCTGGCCAGTCCAATACCATCTCTGATTCGAGTGGCCGTTGCAAACAGTGTGGACTTTCCTGCACGCGGCATCTCAAAACATCCAGAACAAAAAGCAAACAAAAACCATCGTAAACATCCCAATGCACTCCACCTTGGGGCTCTGAGACAAGTGGCACGATATTCTTGAAGGAGTCCAGACACCTTGGGCCCTACTTTCAGCCTTTTGAGGGCTCCGCTTTTCTGGCTCAACAGCTCTACGGCAACTTCTTGCCTTTGAACAGCGGATGTCGAGGGACACTGAGGAGTTTCGTGGGCGTGTTCTCCCCAAGTCATAGTCTCAAGGGCTAGAAAGCACTCATGGTACTACGCAGACATTTCCATGGAAAAGTGCCAGTGTTCCGCTCTCATCAGTTGACAGTGAGCCAGGACCAGCTGTCATTGGTGCACAGCGAGCGGTGTCAACGATGCTACGAAGGTGGTTGTAGCACACGCTGCACGCTTGAGAATCCAGAGATACCCGGAGCATCCGATATGCCATAGCTGCCATGGGATTTTGAGGATAGGATGGATGGGCAGTCAGGACCTGGACTCTCGACGGTCGCGAAACTCGTGGCGTCAATAGGACGATGTCCGACTGTAAAGGCTACGTTTAGCCTTCACCTTGGTACTGCCCGATTGGAGATGCGGTGACAATGCCTGCCATGTTCAGTTCGTGCCCCAACATGGCCCTGGACGGCTTGCTGGCGGCGAAGGAACGCGAGTCGACTCGAGTGACTTCGTCCTTGAGTGCAATCCTACTGACAAAGTTCAGCGCCGCAAAGTCAACGAATGAATGTCAACGAATGTCAGACGTTTTGTGTGTTGCACTAAAGCTCCGGAGGCTGCGCTGTCCGAGAAGCCCATAGAGGGATTCAACCTTCAGCGCTTCGCCCGAAAAGTAGAAGCCTTGCGTCGTGACTCAGGGCTTTGCTCAGGGGTTTTGTGGGGGTTCATTGGGTTCTGGACAATTTGGAGGCTTGGGCGCGTGCTTCTGCGACAACTTCAACTTCAAGCTTGCTGTGGAGCAAAAGAACTGTCGGCTCCGTACCACTTGTGACGGTCAAGAGCTAGCCTCACAAAATCACACACAGTCGCAGCGTCGTACAGTCGCGCACTTTTGGAAAAGCATCGTTATGCATAGTTTGTGAATCGGGTAGAAGATGTCACAACCATCTCAAGCTTTAGACAAGCACGGCACGTGCGCATAACGGCATAACGTGCACAAAGCTCAAGGATGGTACAACATGTGGGCTGTCCTGGGAGCCATATGCGCGCTCAGATGGTTCAGAAATGCACTTGTCTACTCAGCACATGCACTGACGCACTGAAGTTTCAAGCGCTGAGCCACCGTAGTAGTATAGAGTTCTCGCAGGCGCAGAAGATGCTAGCCAGTACACGCTTATTGCAGTTTGTGATTCTGTCGCCCTGAATATACCCAACTTCGTTGAGGGTAAGTACCAGAGAGCCTGTCCCCTCTGCAGGCATCGGCCAACAATGCGACTTCAGTGAAGGCTACGTAAAGGTGGGTCTTGGCTGCAAGGAGTGCACAACCCCAAGTCGAAATCTGAGACGAGGAGCGCTGGTTGGCAGCATCAGTACACGTCTTCCTCGCGTCGGGACTCCCAGGCTCCCATCGCGGGTTTGGGGCTTATTGCGGGGCCTTATTGTGAAGCACCTCCCTGCCCCGTGCGTTCCAACTTTCACTGTAGGATGGCTTTCATGCACTTCCGGCTATGATTGAGGTTCTTGGGAAGTCCTGATTTGGGCCCCTTATGAAAGCGAGATGCCAGTGTGCTTGGCGGTCGCTCGCAATCTCCAAACATTTCCCAGCCGCGCCTCAGCTTTGTTCAAATCGTGCTTTGTGCACGGCTGCTCTATGTTCTCAATAGTTCATTACTATAATCTATTCCTCATATTGTCGGAATGTTTCTAGTTTGGAACATGATCTGCATGAGTACATCTGCATCACTGAACTCGGCAGCAGCGCCGCTACCGACTAATCCCTCGCCAGGTTCAAGTCCAGGGCCTCCAACACTCCAACAGCTCACCACCGAACACGCTTGGGGGGCTTGGGGTGGGGCGGGGGCTTGCAGCGGGGGTTTAGGAAGGGAGGTGTGAACATAAGGGGCGCCGTTTTTTAGGCTTGTTTGGTCAACTAAGGACTCTTTGAGGGGCTTTGTTTGGCTAAGAGTAAGCCCAGGCGCGGAGGGATTTGCCCTTGTAAACGGGCTGGTCGAAGTACCACTTTTGGTTGTCTTTGCCATGGCAACCCGCCAGGTAGACCTTCAGCCCAGTCCATGAGCTCCCCTTTGAGCCCATATGAGATCAAAACTTTGGACCCCTTTGAGCACATTTCTGAGGCTCTTCCCTTCTTCCCTTCTTTTTAGGCTTTCCGTAAGTTTCTTGTTTTTCTTCGCTTCGGCTTCGGGTTAAGGCCTCAAAAGAGTGCTCATGCTGAGCCTCCAATCCCAGCCCTGGACCGCCGAAACCCATTCTAACGTCCCGCGCGCGTTCGAGTTCTCCTTGTGGGCATCGACGCAGTCGTTCGTGCCTTGCACCTGCCCACGCGGGTGAGATCTGGGGCCTTGGGGGAACGAACCTCAAAGAGGGGGATCGCGAGCCCATACCGCTCTCATAACCCTAAAGTAACCTTTTGCCACCCCTATTTAGGGCAATTTAGGGTTCCTGTTTAGTCCCCAGAGTTCTGCGTAGAAGGGTAGAAGCGGAGCCTTCAGCTTCTCCCCGTCCCAGACAAACTTCTGGTGGGAGGAGTCTTGGCAGTTGGCCATCTTCAGGTTCTGAGCAAAGGCATGCTTCCAAACCGCCCCTCCGGCCCCGCCGGCTTCCCGGCCTTAAACAAAGGCCCTCTACAGTGCCCTGTAACCCGTTTAAACAAGGCACTCTACTATGCCCGAACCCTAAACATATTTCAAAACCTCTGTTCTGTCCAGCAAAAAAAAGGTTCTCCGTAAGATTTCCGAGGAGCCCTGCTGTCCCTGTGCAGGCATTTGCTGGTGTTCGCCTGCGACTTCAACCTGAGGCTTTTCTTGCGAACTTTTACGGTTTTTTATGGGGTTGTTTCGGGTTTTTCAGGGTTTTTAGGGGCCTCTTAGGGGCTCTTTCGCCACTTGCTACTCTTCGGGTTCTCTGAGCCATGGTTACGGCGATTAGGGCCCACTCTCCCAATTTGGGGTCCCTCCCGCTCTCATCACTCCCCCTCCCTATGCACCCCTGCCTGAGACCAACCCTTTACCCTCACCCCCCCACCTGCCGCCTCGACTCTGAAACCCCACCCCCCCTCCCCTCCCCCACCCCCCAGCCCCCCCATCCCTTCCCTCGCCCCCCCCCCCCCCCCCCCCCCCAACCCCCCCCCCCCCCCCCCTCCCCCCCCCTCCCCCACCCCTCCACCCCCCGCATCCCTTCCCTTCTAGGCCCCGACCCCCTACTCCGCCCCTGACAAATTTCTAGTTTGAGGGATTCCAATCCACGCCCGCCCTAACCGCCTCCCCACTCTCATCACTCCCCTGCCTTCCGCCCCCAACTCCACCAAACCTCTCTCCCACTCCCACTCCCTAACCCTCCCACCAACCCTCCCCAGCCCTCATCATTACCCCCTGCACCATCGACACGCCATCCGCCGCCCCCCCGCTCTCACCCCTCTCATCGCTTCTCCTTTCGCCCCCTCTACCGTCACCCCCCCACACCGCCCACCCCCCCCCACCCCCTCTGTGACCCCCCCACCCCCACCCCCACCCCCCCCCCACCCCCCACCACCCCCCCCACCCCCCCACCCCCCCACCCCCCTCCTTTAGGCCTTGCCCTACCCCCTATCTCTCGGTGAAGGATTCCAGTCCATGCGCCCCTGCCTCCACCCCCCACCCCCCCCCCCACCCCCACCCCCCCACCCCCCCCACCCCCCCCCCCCACCCCCCCCCCCCCACCCCCCCCACCCCCCCTCCTTTAGGCCTCGCCCCCTATCTCTAGTGTTTTTAAGGATTCCAGTCCATGCCCGCCCTGACCGCCCTCGCCGCCCTCACCGTCCAAAAGACGAACGTCCTCTCTTTGAAGCGTGATGGACTCCGACCGGTCTCCGACCTCCGAAGGACCTGGACACCCCGGTGTCTTCCTCCTTCTCGCAGACTTGTTGCGCTTGGGACCCTAGAAACCCTCAAGTTCTCAACCGGAGTTCAGACTCTTCCCCAAAGTCTTCCAGTTTGAAAGGCAGGAGGCGCCAAGCGGTTCGGTTTTCACAAGAGCCCATGGACATTCCGGACATCCCGGACATCCTTAGGGCCTTTAGGGCCTTTAGGGCTTGTTGGTGTTTAGGTCAGGTGGCTGCGGGCCGTCGAAGTAGAAGAGCTGCGTGTCCTTGTTGGAATCGCAGTCGGCCAGGGCGATGTTGTCGCTGCTCGAGGTCCACTCAAGACCTCTGGCTCTATGGCATCATGGATCAAGG